AACCTGACTGGAACTGGAACTGCACTGTTTTCCAATTGAGAGCCATTATCCATTATGGCAGCTGCACATCCAAGCTTACAATACCTGGTATCTCCAAGTAGTTATCTGTGTCGGTGTAGTATATATATATATATATATATATAAACAAATATATGTATTAAACAAAACAATTTTACAATGGATATAGACAATAATATTTGTATGTGTGTGTAAACATTTGTTTGTCCTTTGGTAAGTGTTTGTATGTATGTGTATGTTTTTAATGTTCATAGTGTCTTCTCAGAAGTGGGAAACGCTGTCTTTTGCAAGAGCTCACATTGTAGCGGTGTTCACTGAAATGAAAAAGAGGATTTACCTCATCTCCACACGAGGTGGGATGTGGCATGAGGCCTGAAGGAAAAAGAAAATGAGGCAAGGAGTCACCCAGTATTTATAGTATAAGGAGAATGACCCCTAGTGACAATTACGGAATTAAGGAGGAGCTAACCCCGACATAGGTAGTGAACATGCTCGACCTTGCTTAAATTCAATGATCATTTGGGTACCAATGCCAATTTTAAGTTTGAACCTTAGACATTATGTCACTACTCTGCAGAGACATCTCTATAGTTTCTTTTATTCATAAGTCAGTAATAAGCATGCATATTTATTTGTTTTTACTTTTTAATTTTTTAAAAGACTTTACTTTTTACCAATGACAACAAATGTGGTTCATAGTGTTTCGTAGAAATTAATTTTTAATAAGCAGCCCTTTACTTACTACTACCTACACAACACATAGACGGTAACATTTTTTTTCGTCAAGTTTGGAGCCTTTTTCATCATGGTATGCTCTTTTTCAGCGAATTAGTGGAGAAATTTAATTAACAAAGTTTGATACAGGTTTTTTTTTTGCAGTCATTTGAAATCAAAAAATTCTGTCGTACCTTAAAATTTTACTAATTAAAAAAGTTCATGAAAATTTGTTGCGTTTGTTTTTACTGAAAATTAAATAATACTTATTTTCTTCTTTTTCCAAAAAAAATATTATTTTGTTTGTATATTTTGATTTAAACTTGGTTTTAAAAAAAAGCGTTTGTTTAATAAAAAAAAAAAAAAGATGGGGATCTGTATTGTACACTTAAATCCAGAGACTGAAGACTCTGAAGAGATATCACGTACTTAACTTCAAGCACTCAAAAAGAAAAGGGTTACTGTTCCATGTTTGAAAAAGTAAAGAAAGTAGATCCAATAGATTGCTAGTATTATTACTAAAAAAATTAGTAGTAGTGATAGCAATTTATGGATCTACAATAATTTTCAGTTAAATTCGTAAATCTACCTATTCTTTTTCGACTTGGAAGCCACTGACGATGGGTGTTGAAGTGCTTGAGGGTGGGAGAAATTGAGTGTGGCAGCAGCAATAATAGAAAAGAGGCGTGTGGAAAGTGCAACTTTATTTTCATTATCCAATTGACACAGGTAGAAAAATGGCTAAAGAGAACACTAGCAGAACTTTTTAACTCAATGTAAAATATGAAGTCACGAAAAAAATCAGAATACGATAAAAAAAAAAACATATCTAAAAGATACACGACTCAAATAAGTACTTAGTTTTACTATAAGAAAATAATTACAAAAGCCTCCTTCTTTATTTAATACAATTAAAATAAAATTTGAATGAGAATGTGAGAGGTGTATTTGAAAAAGCCAAAAAAAGGGGCAACATGCGAGATTTCCCTGATGACACAAATAATAAGTATTATATTTGGTTCCAAGTAATATGCACACGATTGTTACATATGTATTCCCTCTGTTTGGAATAAAATGAATTACTATTGCTGTTATCTTCATCCTTTTGACATCACACATAAATTATGTAGACATTTCCTCCCCTCTCCAAAAGTAAACAATCAAAATGGCCGCTCAAGTCACGTGATGGATTTTCGATCAACCCCCCCCACCCCTGGAAACTTTCTGTTGGTTGCAAAATTAATGTTGACATATTTTTCTCCTCCCTCAACGTAATTTCTTTGAGGTGAATGTGATGTTCTGATTAAAAATTTGCAGACTTCTTCCTGATAGTTTTTTTTGTGTGCTCTATAATTCTTTCAACAAATTTAGGAACGAAAAACTGATTTCTTTTGATTTTACTTTAGAGAAGCAGAGAGAATGAGAAGAAATTCAATTCAATTATTCATTTTTTAAAAAATTCTATTTTTAATTTAATTTTTATCGCATTATTTTTATTTTATCTCATTGTAAAATTTACAATGTATTTGTCATATTGTGTGTGCCAGAGGGGATATTTTCTTTAAGTTTTACTTTTCTCGGGTGTGCAGGGGCCGGTAAAATTACACTTTAAATTTTAAATTTAAAAAAAAACAACAAACAAACAAAACAAAAAATGGAGCGTCTACTCAAATATGAGTAACGTTTGTTTGATTGTCAGTCTCACTCTCTTTTCTCTTGTTATCGATTGTAATGTATTGTACTGAAAATGAAATAATAATTCTGCTGCTTTGCTTCTTCCTCGTCCATGTCGAACTACATGGGATAGGTAGGTAGAGATAACATAACTCACGTGGAACTTCACAATTAAAAGTTCCCACGAGGCTTTAAGTTTAGAAACTAATACATCGTGGGAAAATCTTTCACATTTCTTACAAAATCGCTTAATTTTGGGGCGCACTTCACCAGACAGCCGGCTTTTAAGGATATATCACCTGCACGTGTGTTTTTTGGTGGGGATACACATTTTTTTTAATGAAGCAATTGCAATATAAAAGTTGCTTAAAAAAAAAACAAGCTATATTTTTCTCGTTCATTTTGATTTGATTGAAATAATAAGTCAGAATTTTATTTTCTTCGTGATTGTTTTAAAGTCAACATGCCTAAAACAATAAACAGGCACCTGGTTTATTGTTTGTTTATTTATTTGAATTGTCCAACTCCAAAGTATAGATCAAAATCTGCCTTCTCTGGGAGCTCACGTTTCGGGTTTTTTTATTTTTACAATTCCCAGTGGTTCACTAACTGGTATTTAGGCACGGCATCACTCACTTACAATTTGCGTGTAGCACGTATTTACAAATTTGACTCTAATAAATAATTCAGTAACTTTGAAACTGAAGCCATGTGTTATTCATTGTATTGATTTGTTATTATTACTTAACTTACAAAAGAAGGGACTGTAACGTTGATAGTTTTGAACCGTGGTTAAACAACAAAAATAAAATGAAATCCAATTCTCATGCCCACCACATTAAAACTAAAACAAGACTCGTTCAACTCATCAGCTTTAATTTTTTTTTTTTTATTATGGTTGAAGATTGTATTCTTTATTTACACTCTCGTGGAAGATGCTGATTGTAATCACCGGGAGGGGAGGGGGGGAAAGAAAATTACATAAAAACTGATTTTAGACAACATTTTTTTTCTTAAAACATTTTAGTGAAGTTTTTTTTACTGTTTTCACAAAGTTGAAAACAAATAAAAAAATAAATAAAAACAACACATGCAAACTGAAAATCGTCTTTGAAATTCTCATCCGAAGCTTGAAGCTACATTTCTGCTGTACATTTTTTTTTGCTACAATAATAAAAGTTTTCTTTCCTCTCCAACATTTAGCTTCGGTCTCCTTGGAAAACGTCAAACAAAAAGAAAGATTGAGTCGGTGATCGAACTCACTAGGAATTTGCTTAAAAAAATAGTTTCCTGTTTATGCAATTGAAATCAAAGAAAAACTAGTTAGCTTGTTAATTCTTTTTCGCATCACCGATAATAATTATGATTTCGATCCTCGCTTGGTGTCCAACAATCGTAGCCTTGTCTTAAAAGTGGTGGTTTTAGTTTGTTCTTATGAATATTTTTTTATTTTATCTACATTTTTGAAAAACCCATTTCCAACAACAAACATTCATCATACCAAATCAGAAAGTAAAATAAATGCTTCTTTTTCATTAATCAAGGTGAATTTATATGAAAAAAAGAAGCACTTCATTTTTTTGTTACTGTGCGTGACTATACATGGCGTTTAAAAGTCAAACACGCTGACTTGCATTTTTTTGTTTGTTTCGGTTTTACTCTACTTGTAAAAATAAAAGGATGTCATATTCGTGTGCGAGATAGTGAGAATGGTGACAGTTTAAGCTTTATTCAGTGCTCTGTAAACGAAGCCATGTGCCAGACGATAGTGCAATAAAAATAATGAAGATCGGTGATACTGATCACCTTGTAGAATTGCATGATTAAAAAAAACAAAAAGAAAGCAAGCTTTCTTTTTTTTTAATTCTCGATCACGTTTCGGCCGATGGATTCTTCCCGTCTTTTTTTCTTCGTGTCGTCGCAAGAGTATGGATTAAAAAAAAGACTGGAATCAAAATTCTATGCATTTGCACACTACACACCTCATATTTTTTTTTATTCATATCATAATCATTCAAAATGAAGAAATAGTCGAATAAAAAATAATTATTAAATGTTCATTTTTAGTTAGAAAGTGTTTTTTATTTATTTTTGCAATATAAAGAAAATAAAAATTCAGATTTTCATATTTTTTTTCATTTAAAAACTTGACGTTGAATTTAAAATAAATTGTACTTGACTTGCATCTTACTCCTGTATGCACTACAACGAAAATTTGTCAGAGTGAAAATAATAAATATTTTTATTATTTAATTTTTTTGAACAAAAACATTTATTTCCAGTGATGGGATTTATTAATGAGTAATATTTTTAATTTCGTTTTGATCAGCTTCACGTTTTCGAATCCGAGGAGAGGAACCAGTGCACCCCAGTTTTGTTGTCATTTACTAAAAAAAAAAAACTAATGACTTGAAAGATTTATGATAATAAACGACATAACAAGGCGACGTTATTTGGCTGTATACTTCGTAAGCATCAATATGTCTGAACCCTGAAATCGAAGAACAGGAAGCTTCTTTTTTTTGTGGAAGGAGGAGGAAGTGGGTGAGGTTGAACAAGAGTTACGGCCCTTGTCGTAATTGTCGCTGGCTAACATGGCCGACACAGAGCGACGACCCACGGAGTACACTACTGGTACGGCCAGCCATAATAACAATAATAAACAACAAGCTGATCGTCAGCCAGTTGGTAATAACAACAGAAGACCGACCGTTGTACCTTTTCCAATCAAAAGAAGTAAACCGAAACCAGAAATATGCGAAAACAGATCACCCTTGTTTCCTGCCTACTCCAACAAGTCAGACGTTTGTCATACTTCTATTAATAATACGAATAACAATCTAACAAGCCCGGCTGCTGCGACTAAAGCGGCAGCTTCATTGTCGACAACATCGTCAATAAATACAGATTCTACAAATAATGGTCAGTAGTGTTTAGATATCTTATAAAAGTACTGATTTAGTGAAAAGTAAAATGTTTGCTTAAAAATGAAAGCAATAGAAAATGAAAAAGCATATAGGGCAAAAAAAAAAAAAAAAAGATTCGGTGGTAAAACGTGGAGAAAAATATTTAAAGTAAATAAAGAGAAAATGGTAAAGTTCGATTTTTAGTAAAGACGGTTTATTATTATTTGCAGGTTTTATATTTTAGATGCCATTTAAAACACTAATTTATTTTTAATTAGGCTTGTCTTGAAATAGTTTTCTAAAAAATTATAAATAAAATAAAATAAAAAAAAGTATTTTTTCCTTTTTTAAACCGTAAACGTGAATCGCGATTTGTCGTTTTGTCCATTTTCAATTGTATTTTGTTATTTTTTCTTTTTTACGAACAGCATTTTTAAACTTTTTAAAGACGATTATTAAAAAAATATATTTTTTTTATTTTTTCCAACTTAAATCGATATTTAATTATTTGAATTATTGTGCTAATTATTTCCTGATTTGTTTTTAATGTAATTTTTTAATAAAAATTCGATTTTTTTAATCTCGATTATCTGTTCAATTTTTTAGAGCTTTCAAAATTATCTTGCTAACCTTTCCATGTATAAAGATCGATTTATTTATCGATTAAAAAGTAAACTAAACACATCTTGAGAATAAAATATAAAAATTATGTATTTTCTAAATGTGCTGTTTTGTTGGACACGCCTAAAAATTAAGTTTTTTGTTAGTGATATGTACTCTTAAAAGCAAAAAATTGATTTCAGTGAATAATTGATCAAAAGAAAAATAATTTTTTATTTGGGGATTTTTTTTTTTTTTTTTAGATTAATGAAAAAAAATCGAAATTTAAAAAAAAAGAAGTTTTTTTTTTGTTTTGTTTTGTTTTTTTAAACAAATAACTTAAAAAAAAAAAAAAAACTAGATTCGAACAGAAAACCCGGCAAATGAAGTCACGATTTCCACTTTTTTGAACTTTCCGATTGTATTTTTAATTTAATATTTTTATTATTGCATTAATCTTCTTTTTTTACTAACTTATCACATTTTCAAAATCCACCTCGATACTTTTTAGCTGAATTTCATAATCTGTTTGCTTTATTAAAAATAAAAAATGGACGAAATAAATAACTGGGTATCGTGTGGGGTGGAGAGCATAAGTAAGTCATTTTTGGTAAGAAATTCCATTTGATAAATGCCAATAACTATTTGCCAATTTAATTATTTATTTAAATTAAATATCATAAGTCATATTCTTTTCTCAATTTTCAATATGCTTTATAACTTTTGAACATTTTTATCGAAAGATATCGCAATTATAAGTCCAGGTAAATTGGTCACATCAATAACTTCATCATTTTCTTTTTCTGTTCGACTCCGTGACTGAGAAGGAATAGAAAAGTCACGTTGTCCTATTTTTCATCTTCATCTTTTGTGTGTCTTAAATGTGCCTGACAACAACATTGAGCAGCAGCCTCACCGTCACGAAAATATAAGTCGATTATTGAAAAATACAAATAAATAACCAAATAAATTTTTAAATTTCATCCATCGTAATCGTAAATAATATCAAAATATTAAAAATCAATCATTATGTCCAGTGGAAAAAGTAACATTTGCAACCTTAATTCAAAACATTGATTTTCCACAAACGCGTTTTCCGTTTTTTTTCTTTCCTTTTCATTTTCTTGTATAAGAAAATTTTCAGTAAACAAAGAATAGCTTATCTTTAAATAAAAAACATCGATTATTCTAGTCTTTTTATGCGGAAAGTGAAAATAAAAAGAATACATATACTGATCAAGCTAAAAAAAAAAAAATGAATTCAACATTTTTTTTTATTTAAACTTCAGGTTCGTTAATGAATGAATGACATTTTATTTCTTTTGGCGTGATTCGTTTTAAAAGTGACTGTACAGTAAAAATGATTTAAAAATGTAAAAGTCGTTTTAGAAATAATTAAATTAAATACATTTTTACAAAGCCTGAAGAAAATTCTATTTTGTTTGAGTAAAAAAAAAATAGTGTTCATGTTGATTTTCTATTTTGTTTTATTTTAAATAAAAAAAATTCCCTTTTGGTGTCATGAAAGTTGACAGCTTATATTTTTGAGTCTGCTTGTTTCAATCTCAAACAAAAATAGTCTGCAAGTCAACAGATCATGATTGTTGGTAAAGAAAAATTAGTTTGATGATATGTAGCTGACATTCCCAGCGTCATTTTTCTTAATTGTATGCTATTATTCGTGTACACTGTATATTGATTTCAACTTTCATTTAAAATGTATGTGTATGGCATGCACAGCTAGAATTATGTATCAAGTACCAACTAATAAAATTCAGTAAACAGACTCAAGCAAAAAGAAGAACCTTTAAAAATATGAAGAAGAAATCGTTGCAAAATGTAATGTTCTGTGAATCCAATAAATCCAATTACTAAGTTATTTATCTATCTTAAATCTGATGAATTCTGGCATTTTTTAAGTTTTGAATAAAATAAAATCTCAGATTGTAATTGTCGTTTCCTGGCCAAGTCATGTTGTTTAAACTCGAAAATCAATATTTTTAAATTGAGCTCGTGCCTACCATTTCAAAATGTAATTTTCAAAAACAAAAATATTACATTCCAGTTTTTTTTTTTAAGATAAATATATTTTTTCCTGTCAATGCTTACTGAAATAAGAAGAATTTGTAAATTGTATTTTGCTTTGTTAAAACCAGATGCTTATGAAGTACAAAACATTTGTTGCTGTTAATAGGAAAATGAATATAATTGATTCGTTTGCTTTTTTATCTGGAGAGTCTATCTGCTATCATGTTTCTTAGCATATTGAATATCTCAATTCATTTTATAAGTTTGTTTTTACTTCCTTTAAAAGAGACAAGTGAAACTTGTTGGCTTTCAAGGGGAAAATGTAGCAATTTTCAAGTTTGTCATGTTTTTTTTTTTACCTTTGACAAGAACTATTTCACATTTCATGTGAAAAAAAAATGAACAAAAAACGCAAAAAATGTAAACCTTGGGAAAATAGTTCTTTATTATTATTTAATTTTATTTGATGTAATTTTTACTTTTTACTTCATCATACTTTTTGGTTTAGGTCTAAGAAAGTTTGGTTGCACATTTTTTCTATGTTTACCAGTGCCTACTTCCATAAAATAACCAAATTAAGAACTTTTTTAACCTACTAAGCAACTTGGGACTGATTTGTAAACAGAAAAATCTCTTTTATTTCTTATTTTTTTCAGTCAATGAGCAGAGAAATATTTCAAGAATATATATATATATATATATGTGTGTGTGTGTGTGTGTGTGTGTGTGTGTGTGCGTGCGGCTGTTTTCAACATTCTGTAAATATTAACCAAAATGAATCAAAATGAAATAATTACTGTCATTCCCATTACCTTGAGTTATATATTTCTTCTTACTGAATAAAATTATTTGAAACTAAGAGCTGTTTATAATGCAAGCAGTATGTTTTGTTACTTTCACGAAATAAATAGTAAAAAAATCTCTTTTCTATTTTTTTCTTAGATTTAATATATAAAATTTTTCAAATAGGTTGTCAAATATTTTCAACTTCATTTTTTTTTTTAGATTTCAGAAAACAATGCTATTTGTGTGTGATTGGAATATGCAAGCAATATTACTTTGATAAAACAATTCTTTTAAAATTTATTTATAGATAAAATATAAGTAGACATTTGATAAAGTGTGTTCATTTGTTGTTTTTTTTTCTTGTTTGAGCTAATAGATGTTTTCTCAAAACATATCTGTGACAGATGCTCAGCATATAGGAAAGAGAGTGGTGATGACTTGTCAGTTTTTCCTTTCCTCTCAAAAACATCAAAGATGATTAAAAGTGTTGTTAATAATATTAACTTATAAAATCCAGAATAAGCATGCTTATAAAGCGCTTTCTATCAATTTTGTAAATGTAATCGGCTATAAAGTTGCAGATTTTTATTTTTTTAATATTATCTATCTATCTATCTATCTATCTATCTATATATATATATATATATATATAATGTACTGTTACATCATATTTACTTGCATATTTAACACACACAAAAAAAACATTTCAGTTGATTTATAATTCAATTTGGGTTTATATTTTTATGCACATAAAATATGAAAAAACTGAAATAAAATTCTCTTAACTAGTGCAATTATTACAATCTCATTGCCTATTGCAACTGTTATTTTTTTTTTTTACTATAGCAAATTTTAAATCCCTGTGGATTGTTGATTACAAGAATCAGGATGCAAATCAAATTTTATTGGTTCATTACATATTACAATGAAACCAACCTTTCCATTTTATCATTGTTTCAAAATTGATATATTTTGGAAAATGTTTTCTTTTACAAGATTTTTTTTTTTTTTTTTTTTTTTTTTTGCAATAAAATAAAAAATTCAGAATTAACTACAAATCTCATTTGGTTGAATCATTTAGAAAAAAATTATATCTGCATGTTTTATTATTTAACTGTAAAATATAATTTTCATTACATAGTTAAAATTGTTTTAGGTAAATTTGTTAAGAAGCCACTAATATTGCAAAGTATGCAATTTTCATGTTTTTAATTCCTTGCAGAGATGAAGTTAACAAATGAATGCACTAAAATTCATTTCTTGGCGCAAATGAACTTAAAAGCATTTTTAGAAATAACATGTCATAGGACTATATAGAATTCTGGAAATATCTAAATACCAATATGCCATAAAACATTTAGTTATAATTTTCTTATAACATTTCAAAAACGACAATGGTTTTTCTATAAAACAAGATTTGACCAAAGTTAATGTATAAAATAGTTTTATAATGTTGAATGTTCTTCATTGTACCTCTGTCCTAACAAATATTCTTAATTTTCATTATTCCTTATTTTCAGATTTTAAAAAATCCAACATATTCCATCAGTTCAAAACATTATACTGTAATAGAAAATTTCCTTTATAAAAAAGTGAATTGTT